ACGTACGCTTCCCTAAACTCCTCTTCTGCTGCTCAAGCAGGGAAGTTTCATGATGATCTATCTTTTTCAGTCTTTCTGTTGATTCACTCTCTGTCCTGTTAAGTTTTTTGGCATACCAATGTATACTTTTCCTATCTCTACCATGCACTTAAGAGGACAGGCACTTTGTCTTTTTTGTTTTCCTAAATCACAGGTGCAGGGTGAGCTTTCAAAACTCCAATGGCCAAAAATAACTGGAGTACTTAAGAGCTGCATCTCACGTCAACCCCTGTATTCTAAGCTGTATTATAAATTAAAATCAGCAATCTTGATGACACCTCACCACATTCTTGTTTTGATTGCAAAACTAAGCTAGTTGTGCACTTTATACAGTATTCTCCTTAATATCTGACACTTTATTTTTCCTCTTTCTTTAAAGATGTTTGTTATTTTATCTATTTTGGACTGGAAATACTGTCCATTAGCACCGGTTTCTCTGAGGACTGAAATGCTTTTTCATTCCTCTGCTAAGGTGTATTTAAGCTGCTCTCAATTCTCCATTGTATTTTCTGGTAATTTTTTTCCCCCTTTTGTTTTATTACCAGACAGTTTTCCTACTTCTAATTTTTGGTCTATTTTAAATGTTGCAGGAATGTGTGAGCTACACAGAACGATAATTCTCTTGATGGAGTCTGTATCTCTTTTTCAGTTCGATAATCTGAGGAAAGCACTTGTACCTGGCTGTTAATCTTTACCAGGCCCAGCAAACTCGCGCGGTGCTCCTCTGCAGTGGGTGAGATGCTTCCTCCACAACAAGACTTTCATCTGTAATTGGTGGAAGTGTTAGGGGAGTTTTGCTGTTGCTTGTAGACAGTTTCCAGCTTATTTCCTGCAAAAGATGATATTCCCTTGCGATACGACACTGCAGACAGTGGGATCAGTGTTACCTGGCTCATTCACTTCTCTGGCTGATGGATCCTGGACAGTGTGATGCCTTACAAGTCAGGGAGTACTGGAGCCCCTGTGCTTCTGAACAGACAGCATCTTCAAAGGAGGCAGTGGCATGTTTGAAGGGAAGCATGGACGCCTGCCCTCGTGTTTATTCATAACAAGGTAACTTTGGGAGTTTCAGCATTGCTCTATTCATCTTCCTTTGAGTTGCAAAAATGCAGTTGAACCCAGTCTTTCCTCATGCAATAGCTCATCCTAAACAACTTCATCTCTGGAGCAAGATCAAGCTTCATGTTATGTTAAAATAGCTAGCATGTGAAAAGCATGATGATGTTGCAATGTAACTGATTAATAGGAATAGCAAAGTAAGTCTCTTGCCTCCATAGGTACTGAGCTTAAGGGTCGTCTCATTTTGTCTGGCAGGTAGGCTCACACACTTGATGCAAGTTTTTACCATTTTAGTCACTACAGGTATCAGTCTTTTTTTTGTTGAGTGATGAGGCTGTCTTACGTCTTCATACAGCTCTGTGGTCACAGAGCAGGTGAGCTTTCAATTAGTACTGTTTGCTTTCACCTGAAGAGGTACAGTTAGTGAGAATTTGCCTCTGGTTCTTATCTGGTAGCTCTGCTTGCCCGGGTCTTTGTTGAAGCCACCTGTGTTTCAGGAGTCCTGCCGCTCCTGCTTAGCTCTTTGTCTAAGCAATGCTGTCATATACGTGTCTCATGCTGTCAAGCCTCTGGCTCCCTGGTGATCTCTGCTTCAGCCAGAGCCTTTTGGCCCTTGTCTGAGTTCAAGGGCTTCGTGAATTCCTATGGCTTTGAATCTGTCAGATGTCCTGACTCTGGTGCCAGAGCTGGTGAGGTGCTTAACAGCTGTAACCTCAGCTACCGTACTTTTTATTTGTCATCCACACCAGCCCGCTTATGTCTTCGAAGCCAACTTCTGGCAGAGTTTACTCAATAGACAGCCCTTGTTGGAAGTCATTCTCTAAGGTATTCTTGCAGCTTATTTCCTAGCAGAACGCATTCTGGATCCGGTGCTGTTGGTTGATTCCTGTTGGAGTTAATGAGCTGAAAACGATGAGTCCTTTACCACGTGGGCCAGGTGCACCCTTCTCCCATCACTGGCAAGATTCCAGTTGCTTTCATGGAGCAACATCCAAAAAGGCCTAATTCTCAGATTTCCAATCTGCTCCAGATTCACTCACGTCTGTAACTCACATCTGTTCATCACTTCTATGTGTTGAACATCTTTTGAAAGACTTCAGTTGTTCCCTTATAGGAATGTTATTTCATTATTTGACACTGGGATCTTTAGAGATAGTTTAATTTTTTTTTTTAAAGTGTTAAAATATTGTAACAGCAGTGAAAGTCATATGGAAATCCCTGTTAGTTTCTAGAATACTATTCCCCCTCTGCAGCGCTGCCTGAGCTGCTGTGGGGTAGGTGTGCTCCCCCTCGTGTTGCACAGTTACAGTAAACACTGAAATAGTTCTTCCTCCTGCACATAACAGGCAGCATGCAAACTTGTGCTCTGGTTCTCTTTACCCTTTATGCATCTGCGCAGTTTCGTGTTGCAGAATTAGCTGCTTTTTGTTTAACTGACAGCCCCATGCTGTAATGTCAGTGTGTGTAGCTGTCTTGTGACAGTGAACTGCACTCTGATCGCCTCTTTTTTTTTCTTTTTTCTAACAGGAATTTTCTGTAAAGCATTCACAGGAAACTTTTACGTGCTTAGTAGCAGTCATAATTTCTTAGACCTCTCAGAACCTCTTTAAATTTGTCCCTGTTTTTAATGTCATTTTTTAAATATTTGCTGCAAGTTAGACTCTTTATATAGAAATGTGCACTCTTCTTTTCACCTGCTCTTTGGAAGTGCTCGGCACTCAGAGATTTCTTGGAACACAACAGGGAGCATGTAGGTGATAAGAGACTTTGAAAATCAGGCTAAAAACCAGAAATGCACAAGCCTCTTCTTCCCTAGTCATTGAGTACATATATAAGGTAAACATTAAGAAATGAGAACCTCAAATACTTAATGTGTAAGATCTAGCTGCTATATGTGCAGTTCCCCACAGCTCCATGAGTGACCCTGTGTCAAGCTGTGGTAGGAGCGCAGCTCTAGAGCATGGGTCTACAGCTCACCTTCTGATGCAGCTGTAAAAACCCAAATCCAAAATGAAGTGAAAAAGTAACTCTGTCCATCTATTTCTTCAGTCACACACAGGGAGAAAAAGAGCACTGCTTACCCAGGTGGGTCCTTCGCTATCAAGCACCTTAAGAAATCCAGACCAGCACCTTGAAGGTCCCCCTGGAATGAGTAGATGTGACTTCTTTGTGTGTTCAATTGATTGTTTCCTTCTGAATTTAAAACATATTTGCCGTTTTATAGTAGCTAGCGTGCTCTTTTGCACTAGTGCAGCCTGCTGGGTCTGTTCCCAGAGATGGCAGTCAGAGTCTGGTGTCCTGGAGGCAGTCCTGGTCACCCTTACATCTCTGCTTTGCGAGAACTAGGTCTTCAAAAGACAGTGTCAAAAAGGCAGTTTTCAAAATAATGAGCTTTCCTGATCATAGACCTTTCTGGGAAGTCTGTAGGCTTTTTGCTGCCCAGCATGTGTTGAAATAGGAGAATGAGGTCCCAGAGGTTGCCGAAGCATTGCTGTGAATGGCTCTTGCTGTGTAGGCATTCCTCCCGTACTCGTACAGTGGCAGGGAACGGCTGACGGGCGTCCTTCTTTGCACAGCAGAGGTGTCTGACATTTTACCAGAGGAGCCTGCTGGTCACATTTAACTTAACCAGGTGGGCAGTAGTCACAGGCAGATTCAGATTAAAAACAGACACATAGGGCAGGAAAATATTTAGCTGCCCCGGTGGCATTTGAGCTTCTTGACACGAGGCACTCATCTTCCTTAGACCC